TGTATGCAGAGAAGGCCACTTGGGACAGATTTGGCAAGCCGTTCTGAATGCCCCAGTCTGGGATGGGATGACCCATCCTTGGCATATTGAAAAATGAAAGAGACTTGGTTCTCTTTAACCACTTTATTGTTCTACATTTCTCCCTAGCAGAGTCCCAGCACTAAAGCTCAAGAGGTCCCCATGGAACAAGGCCCTTAGTAGAACTTGATTTCTGCATAATTCTCCTCAGTATCTCTAGGTATCTGGGTCTCAGGCATGGGTCTGCGGCCTGGAAAGGTGAGTCCAGCATAATGGAGCTCCTCTTGGTCATTCTCATATTCTGGGTCTTGAATAGATGATTTGGGTACTGGGCAACCAAGGGACACAAAGCATAGCTCCTTCTGGTCCTTTGATCCCAGGGAGGGAGCTCCCAAAGCAGGGGTCTGGGAAGGGTTGGTTGGTGTGGCCTTCCGATTCCGAGCCTGAGGAAATAACCACCATCTTTCAGTCATTCACTAAAAAAATATTTGAGAACCTACTGAGTGCTGGGCACTGATTTGAGAACTGGAGTCACAGCAGGAGTAAGGAAAAGTCCCTGCCACACTAAGCTTGCATTCCATCTTTGATGCAGGAACAAACAATACACCAGCAAAAACATAATAACTAGTAAGCAATAAATGCCATCAAGAAAATTAAGCCACGTTGGAGGCAAGGGGAAAGGAAGGTTGGTGTCTGTGTAAATAGGGCATCCAGGGATGCTCTCTCTGAGAGGATGACATTGAAGCAGAGAGGACAGATTAAATGAGGTGAGGAGTCAGACAATTTCTAGGGAAAAATTATCCCTGGGGGAGGTAGCAATAAATTCCAATACCCTAAGCCAAGAGGGGAATCATGTGTTTGAGGAAGGACAAGTCTAGGCAAAGAGATAGGAGATGAGATTGATGAGGGAGGCCAGCATCAGACTCCATATTTATTCTAAGTGTGATGGGAGTCGTTGGAGATTTTAACAGGAAAGTAAGGTGTTTTGATTTATGAGTTGTTGGTTTTTTTTTAAGAGACAGAGTCCCACTTTGTCATCCTTGGTAGAGTGCCGTGGCGTCACAGCTCGCAGCAACCTCCAGCTCTTGGGCTTAGGTGATTCTCTTGCCTCAGCCTCCTGAGTAGCTGGGACTACAGGTGCCTGCCACAAAGCCTGGCTATTTTTTGGTTGCAGTTTGGCTGGGGCCAGGTTTGAACCCCCTACTCAGTATATGAGGCCCGTGCCCTACTCACTGAGCCACAGGTGCCGCTCGGGTTTTTTTTTTTTTTGGACTCTGGAATGTCTCTAGTTCACAAGAAGTTGCAAAAAATAGTACAGAGTACAGAGATGTCCTAGGTACCCTCACCCCAGTTTTCCCCAGTGGTTATATTTTATGTAACTATAGGTCAATATCCAAACCAGGAAGTTGACATTGGTATGTGTGAATAGAGTTTCAAGCAACTTTATCAAAGGAATGGTGTTATGGGCCAAATTATGTCCCCCCAAATTAGGTGTTCAAGTCCTAGTATCTAGTACCTAAGAATGTCACCGTATTTGAGATAGAGTTTTTAAAGAGGCCATTAATCTAAAAGGAGGTCCTATGAGTAGGTTCTAATCCCATGTGATTGGTGCTCTTTAGACACCAATTAGGACCCAGACACACACCAGGTGAAGATACAAGGAGGAGAAAAGACATCTATAAGCCAAGGAGAGGCCTCAGAAGGAATCAGCTCTGCAACACCTTGATCCAGGCCTTCTAGCCTCCAAACATGTGAGGTAATAAGTGTCTGTTATTTAAGTCTCCTAGGCTATGGTACTTGGTTATGGCATCCCCAGGACACTAGGACAGGTAGATTCACCTGTATTCACCACCACCACAGTCCAGTAGAGAACTGCTCATCATCCCAAAGATCTCCCTCAGGCTTTCCTGTTGGAGTCCCACATGTCTCTCTCTGGTCCCTAATTCCTAGTGACCACTAATCTGGTCCCCATTTCTGTAATTTGGATCATTCTGAGAGTGTAGTATAAATAGAATTATGCAGTATGTGACCTTTTAAGATGGACTTTTCCACTTTTTTTTGTTCCTAAGACCCATCCAACTTGTATGTATTAGTTGTCCCTCTTGATTGCTGAGTAGTAACTAACCCATGTACCTCCTTGGGTTTTCAA